TTTAGTGAAGACAACGGAACAATTCCTGCGGTCAACGTTGGTAACAGAGAGTAAATGAAAGTATCAATTCCGGGCTTTAAATCGGATTGATACAATGTAGAATTTCCGTAAACTGACATGGGGTAAATTCGGGTGTTCACGGTTCAAGAACCTCAACATTTATTTATTTACGGGCAAAGCCCAATTCGGTTTAAATACAATAAGATATAATAAAATACAATAGAATATAATTAAATACAATAAAATAGTGCTAACATAAAAATTAAGAAAAATACAAAATACAAATGAAAAATAATTCACATAACATATTCGTGCGATTATATAACAAATTGGTAGGATAAAACAGTAGACACTAATATAATGTAGAAAACAGCAATTAAATTATAATAAGAGCAAATAAAAAATATGAGATTACACGTGGCGTTCAAATATTTAGTGTGAATAAATGGTTCTTAAATCTCTGAACAGAGCTGTCAAAGAATAATTGTATCGGTGAAAAGGCACATGGAATGTTTGAATTTGTCTAGTAGTACGTGATGGCACAAAAAGATTGATTCTGGCAAGGAGGTCGGGACAATTACATCTGACATTGATCTTTGCGTTTCCTACGAACTTTTAGAGAAGGTATGCTTAAATATTGTAATTCTGCATAATTGTAGTAAATGCTTTGTATTTAAAAAAACTATTTTGATCTCCATCCAATTTACTTTTATGACTTAGGTAGGTGTGGGAACCAGACTGAAGAGCAATAATAAAGTTGTGTCCTAACTAAAGAGAGGTATAGAATTTTAATTGTGTTTAGATTAGTGAAATCACGAGTTGTTCTCTTGACAAAGCCTAGCATTGTTATTGATTTTTGAACTGTAGCAGTGATATGGCCATTAAAGCTCATGGAAGAGTCAGTGGTGATCCCTAGATCCTTATTTGATGGACAGGTTCCAAAAAATGATGAAATAAACTATAGTTAAATGAAAGCTGCGACAAAATCTGATAATGTGATATTTGTTAGTATTTAAATCCGTGCCATTAATTGAGCACCAACTTGCTAGTTCATTTAAATCCGATTGCAAAATCTGAGTGTCATCATAATTATTATTTATCTTGAAGCACTTCAAGTCATCTGCGAACAATAGAGTTTTAGTGTCAGGAAAAAAGGTTGTGATATTATTTATGAATAGGTTGAATAATAGCGGTCCTAAGTGAGATCCTCGGACATGGTCATATTCCTATTCGTTAGATAACTACTTAGCCACTGTAGGACCGTCCCGTCTATACCATGTAAATTGAGCTTATGAACGAGAAGATCATGATTCACATTGTCAAAGACCTTGGAAAAGTCGGTATACACAGAATCTACCTGTAGACCCAGTTCCAAAGCTTCAGACACAAAGTTGGCATACGTTAATAAGCCCAGTTTAGCAGATTTGCCTGGCTAAAAACCGTATTGTTGAGAATTTAAGATATTGGAGCAGTCGTATGTTAGAAAATCAGTTATTATACTTCCGGATTTGAGAGTATCCATTTCACGCAAGAGTTTAGGCACGTTCATAGAGTATAAGCGACAATCACTACAGAAGAAGACCAAAGACATTTTCTGTATAACAACAGCTCGAAGTTCAGAAGCACATAAACCTGTGCAAGTTTCTGACATGTGCATAGGTACGTGACAACTGTCGCAAACGATAAAATTTTCAGCAAGTGTTTCCTTTCAGCTAGAACAGGTGTTTACCATTTTCAACAATTGGTCCCAGACTATAAGATTCGCAGTCACAAATGTAAGCGTTTTTCCAGGACTACAGAAATAAATTCAAAGTACCTTTATCAGCACACTGTTTTTATTGAAAGTTTTTATTTTTATTCCATCGACAGATAAATCTGTAAGATTTGATTTAAATATGTAAATTATTTAAATGGACCACGATTTGCTATGTGTTGATTCTACTTCCACAAGAGGGTAATTGATATGTTTTCACTGGAAAAAACCAAATTTTTAGGCACAATTTAAATACTTATTTTTACAAAACATGAGGAACAAACTAAAACAGCACCGTTCAATTGTGTTGTTCTACACTAAGCCAATCGGGTAAAATATAAAAATATATTGCTTACGAATACTATTTACGTTTTTTTTTTTTTATTTCAAAGTTCACCCCTTTGTAACCCTGATCACAGTAAATAAACGAAAATGTTCGATCAACATAAGTGGGGGGAAAAAACACGGTATCGGTAAATCAATTCAAATAAATCGGGGAAAATAAAGAACGTAATCAAACAGTGTAAATAAATCAAATAAAATAAATCGGGGAAAATCAGTAACTCAGTGCCAAAATATACCACGGGAAAGAATTTAGTAATTACTATTGTTAAGGCAAGTCTTAATTCTTGCAACAAAATTCCAAACCTATGCTAATAAATAATTATTCGATAACATGTAAGGTCTCAGATATAATCGATGTAAACTTAACAAATGGAATTAACACTAGGGCCGAAAATGTTGTACAATATAAACCCTAAATCTGAGTTGTCTCGGACAAACTTAATGCGGATAGAAATTAACATAAAACTCGTTTAATTCTGGTGACTGGCTAATGTAATTGAACAATGTTGCCCACACTAGTATTTTAATTCAATATCAACAACTAACGAAAAAAATTATTTCGGTAAATTAAAAAAAAAAAAATAATAAAACCCACTGAATGATTATCCAAATAAATCGCGGAAAACAATGATATGCGATAGTGACAATGAATGATGTATTAAACACTTCTTGTTACTGCCAGTATTTAAATACTGCATTCTACCAGTATCGCGAAATTAACACCTAATCTAAGTACAAAACTTTAGAGAGTTATTGCAAGTTCACTTAGGTCAATCACTTACATTCTAGAACTGACTTTAATAAAGATTGTTCCTGTCCTTAATTGTGGATGTTTAAGGACAGCATATATTGGCGACTTTATAGTTTTCGGGTGCGCTCGCCAACATTAGTATCAGTTCGAAGTTTTTTAATATTAAATATTTAATATCATCGTCATCTAAACCTTCTAAAATGGTAATTTATAATGCCTCTTCCATATTATGTACTATTATAAACAACAAAAAAGATGAACTGTAATTTAAAATTTTAAAAATGAGGTTAGAAATATGTATGAGGACAAGGACTCTCAACATTTCAGGTTTGCAATAAGTGTTATTTTAGCATGGAATTTATTTGCCTCTAATTACGTTGTCACTATTAGTGGCTGACGTTATAGAAATTTGCAATAACTCTCTATTACTTCTCGGCTAACATGTGAAAACCTAAAACCAGTCTGGTGTAACTGAACAGTCTCGACCAACGTTAGATTTCAAATAGTATTTAAATTAAACAATTTTTCCGTTCACTGGGATATTTGGCTTCAATAAACTAAATTGTCCACGTATAATACGCAGACCAAAACCCGGTACAAATTAATAAAAATAAATTCGGTTTATTTAACTTACGAGAAACATTTTTACTTTATTATTACACAGCTAATTTTAATTTATTAATTGAACTAAATACTAAATATTTAAAAAGAAGAGAATACGGAACGGTTTAATTGATCGTTTAAAAAAAACAAGTATCTACTTAATCACGAAAATACAATTCAAATTTTCAAAGTCGTCTAGAGAAATTTATTTTTAACAAAATGTAATACCACATCGTTGTGAAAAAGATTAATTTTCAACGAAATTAATAAAAAAACTTAAAAGGGGTTTTTCGATATACTCGGACTGCAATATCTTCAATACAATTTATTTCTCTATCGAAAAATTTACAGCGGATCGGCTGACTGGTTTTGAATCATAACTGAATGGGCCCGTTCACTTTCATTTTTGAATGTGAAATAATTATATATTTATAAAGATATTAAACTCTTTTGTCTGGTGGTACTTTTCCCATTAAGATATTTTTGCTAGAAGTAAGGGAATTCCCATAAAATTCTTTCAGTGACTCATTGCGTCAGAAAATCCCTAATTCCGTTCACGTCTCGTATCGGTTATGCTTAAAGACGGCGGGGTTGTCGGAAGTATCCCTAATATAGCATTTCTGCATTTATATATGTAATTTAAATAGTAAAATTCCATTATTTTTCTAAAAATCATGAACTCATATTTTCAGATTTAAAGCTGGGAGCTTATTTTTTACTTTTTAATTAAAACAATTATTATTACTCAGGCTGAAAATTAACCAGACCATAATCAAAAAGTAGAAATTTGATTTGCAATATTTATCTGGTAAACGTGGCAACGTTGCATTTATTTCTAGAAGTATGTGTAGACAACACTATTTAGAAGTACTTACAACGTTGTCACGTTTACCAGAAACATTTTCTCAAATAAAATTTCAATCTGGTAATATTCAGCTTGAGTAATACGAATTGTTTTTATTAAAATTTAAAAAAGGTAGGGCTTACAGCTTTATCTGAAAATATAAACACATTATTTTTAAAAAATAATATATTTTTATCATGTAAATTTCTTTAATAAATGCAGAAGAGGAATGGTGGTGCAATGATACATCCGACAACCGCGCCCTTTTAACTATTAACCGATACGAGACTTGAAGGGAATTAGGGGTTTTCTGACGCAATGAGTCACTGAAAGAATTTTATGGGAATTCCCTTACTTCTAGCAAAAATATCTTAACGGGAAAAGTACCACCAGACAAAAGAGTTTAATATCTTTATAAATATATAAATAATTCACATTCAAAAATAAAAGTGAACGGGCCCATTATTCTTTTCAAAACTAGCTCGACGTTAGGTACCGTCTGGACGTCCCCACCAAAGCGAAAATATATTTCGGAGAGAGGCCTAGATATATCTTTATATCGAAATTAATATACAGGGTGATGCGACTGATCAATTGAATCGAACATTTTGCATTAAAATATTTAAATTAATTTTAAAAAGTAATGAAATGACAACAAAAAAATAGGTTCATTATAGTTGCTTAGTTTTATTCTTTTTTTTAAGGTTGAACAAGAATGTCAAGGACTTCAATACCAAGTAGAAGTACGAAACATAACACAACGAATAGAAATTTTATCGGAAAAACTAGATTCCACCATAGCTCTTAGCGAACCACGTGAGAACGCTTTTCTTACTGTCAGCTTCGATTTAAACGACAGTTTAGAACAAATCCAACAACATTTGAGCGTGCTAGGTAAAGTTAGAACCAGTACTACTTTCCCTAAACTGTGCACTGCGAAATTGGATGGCAATACAATAGCGGGAATCGAAAATTTTGTCACACTTACCACAGTGGATTATCATGGCAATGAAAGAAAGAATGGTGGAGATCCTGTAGAAGCAGAACTGCTCATGGCTACAGCTGAAGAAAGGTACTTTAGACTATATTTTTCAAATATTTACACTAAGCATAAGGTTGCATTGAATGCGAACTCCTGCAAATTTTTAAACGTGTGCGTACGAATAATATCGTGTCGTACTACTAGTACACAGTAGTAGTATTCAATGATTTGTAATTATCAAAATTACTGCGATCACGTTGAACAACTCAAAAAATTCTAACCAATAAAATTTTCAGAATCTGGATCTGCATTGGGATTCTCATCTTTCAATTCGGCACGTGTTGAGACGACTATCTTCGTTCGACAGAATGCGATTCGTATGTAATGTCTCTCTCTATTCAATTCGTTACGTGTTGAGTACGCACATAAGAATCCCTGTCCTGATTAAGTCGTCTTAGTTTCACCATGAGATCTCTCTACTGATACACTATTTTGTGATCAACATCTACTCCCCCAAGGGGGGAAATCCCTCTCCTGTAATTGGTTTATTTAATCAGCGTTGCCAAGTTTGACAGCTCCAGTTCTGACACTTTCTGACACATGTCAAATTTTGATTTGTATTCGAAAAATATAATTATTTATAGCTTTGTAAGGGTTGTAAATGTATATTTAAGATTTATTATCTCTATGGTGAAAACATGCTTTATATGTGTAAAAGACCTGTTGAAAATGCTTCTTCAAGATTATATCATAAGTACAAACACAACCTAAATTATGAGAGGCGGTGCATTGGGCAATCGCCTTTAATTTGCAATTAAACTTTCTTATTTTGTTATTGAAAAAGTAAAATTAAGAGGTAATAAACCCCAGCTAAGTTCGTCTTCGTCCATCTCATAATGATTATAGTAAAGGTTAATTATTTATTAACATAAATAAAAAAAAATTAAACCTGACTTTATTTTAATATTACATCTTTGTAAAGTTTATCGTTATTTTTTTATTGTAGTTTTCCTTTTCTTTATATGATAAAAAGAAATAAATTGTTCTAAAATTTAGGAATTCAACAAGTGTCCACCTGAATAACTTTTTATGCTAATCAAGATTTTTATTACAGACCTCAGGGGAGGAAAATATTAAAGAAAAATGCAATTTCAGCAAATTTCGACGAGAGAAGTATAATAATCAATCCTGTCACTACTTCCTCGCCATATTCATCTGCTAGGTACTAAAATACTAAAACAGCAAGAGAAGCAGAGAAACTTAAGTTTCTTTCAAAAAGAATGTTTAAGGAAAAAGGCAATGCCACTTTTTTGTTGACAATTTCTTTGAAAACTGTAATTTAATCGACTAATTTTGTGTATTGTTTAAATTTTCATACTATGTACTTAATTAAAGAGCAAAGAAAGGTTTTAAAATTCGTAAGAATACTATTCAGAGCCGAAAACATAAAATAGTTAGTTAGTCTTCCTGCTCGAAATATAAAGATATAGGTACAAATATTTGGATATTGAGTGATTTTTTATTCTATAAATAGAACGTCATTTGCTTCTAAATCACTAATAAACTATATTATGAAGTAACCAACTAAACAAAAATATCACATTATTCATGTTTTTTTTTATTTACTAAAAAACGTTCCAAAAAACAGTGAATATTTATTATTGATGTTTATCGCTATGCTAAAACAATACTAGAACAACTTAAATTTTGTGGATTTTGACTATTTTTAGTTATCCAGATCATTATGATCTAAAAAAAATGTCTTTCTGGTGCTACAGTCAAGTATAAAAACATTCATTTATTTGAGCACAGTTGCAATATACATTTTAATTCGTTTTTAAGTTAATACCTAGTAGGACATCTTAAAATGTCTTTTTTCGTTATATGTGAGATTTATTATTCTACTTTTTTGTTGGTGAAATAGGATATTTTAAGATGTCCTATTGTTTTCTCTAATTATCTAAAAAATATAGAACAATACAAAGACTGTTTTAACAAAAAAGATATATACCTTTAATTAAACACACAATTAGTCCATTCAATTATACGATAACTTAAAACAGAAATCCAGAAAACTTCTAAAAATGTGTTTTTACTAGAACAAGGACATCTTACAAAATAATTATTAAAAAAAAGTCGGCACCTAATAACATTGACGATAGGTTTTTATAATCACAACGGCCAAGTCGGAGAGGCTAGCCGCGAGATTAGTGTACATCCACATTCTCGCAACAAATAAGCCGTGATATCTCCGGTCACGTCGTCGATGCAAATGGTGTAACAATACATCCTTATTGAAAATTATATTTGCTTACAATAATTATTGCAATAACTTAATATTATATATGCCTATTAAGTCATCAAATAAATTGTGGAACTTAAATTAAAAAAAATCAATTTTCCTTTATTATTAAGATCAGGAGCGGCTCGTCACCCAAATTTTGGGGGTTCACAGAAGCAGAATATAGATCCCGGTACATATATAGGTAAAAAACTGTCAGTGTTTTAGAAATGTATATTATAAACTTCCTAAAACACTGAAAGTTTTTTCATACATCTGTACTGATACCGATATTCTGTCACTGTGAACCACCCCACGAGCCGCCACTGATTAAGATTAAAAGTTTTAGAAGCTTTAATATTTACACTATGTTTATGTGACGATTTTTGAAAAACTATAGTCACTACAAATGGTTTATTTATTATCTCAGTTGGCTAAAATTTTTCAGCTACTTCAGGGTTGATAAATGATTTTAACGATCCTGGGTTTACCAATATTTTTAAATTATCCTCAGGGAAAATTATATAGGGTAATTCACTTAAATCCGCACAATTTATTGAAATGTGTACGGGATTTTGTTGCGAGTTATTTTGTTCCGAGGCCTTTACCGAAACTTTTGAGTTTGACCTTTATTTTCATTAGCTTCTTCTTGAGAATCATTATATTCATTGTCATAATGATTTTCAGGGTTTTCAACCATTAAATTTTATATAGCCTCTGTTTGAGAGTTAAATAACCAGCCGATTTATTAAAATAATTTGAAGGTCTCATATAATTTTTACGAGTATTCCTAGTTGACACTGACAGGTGTAGGGTTTGGAAAATTTGTTTTTTGTTTTGGTTTGAATACATTTGTATTCTTATTTGGATAATTATATACGAAAACTTGGGTAATTAAGTTGTATGGGTCTTGAATTTACATTAAAAGGTTGAGACGGAAAATTATTTCTTTGTTTGTAGAAAAAATCATTAGGTGTATTAAAATTATTTGAAAAGTTTCATTTTGATTCGGTGGAACATGAATATTGTTATTATATTGGAAGTTTGGTCTTTGAATGGTATTAGGTCTTGAAAAATTTCTGAAAGTATTTCGCACAATTTCGAGAAGAATTTTGATTTTGAAAATTGCTAGAAGAATTTTGCAAATAATGAGCATTAACTTTATGCATCTTATTTTTTGCTGCCTCTGTTACTTCGTGTATGTTAACATAACTACGTAACAAATTTAATATATGTAAACATCTGTCATATTAGTTTTGTGCCGATTCATTTTGATTTTGTCTTAACATTACAAGATCCCTGTTTAAATAAACTTCATCTCTTTGATCAGAGAAATTTCCAGTTAAAGTATTTTTTAAATCATTCCAATTTCCACAATTTTGAATATTAACTACCGTTTTAGCATTCTCCCTTAATGTTGAAATAATTGAGTTCAATAAATACGTATTTTGTTTTTCTGGATTTTCTTTATCATGAAATTGTGTGAGCAAATATTTACTCACTGATAAAAATCTACTTAAATCATGAGGACTACTATCGAATTTAGGTATACAATTAAGAAACTCAGGTTTGAAAGTCATACTTAATTCTAGTAAATTATTGATTCCATCTTGTAAATTTTTTATTATTTCTTGTTCTTGTAAATTATTGGTTACTTCTTTTTTTTTTTTTTTTTTTTTTTTTAATTTGGTGTCATCGGCGTCGACTACTACGGCCATTAGCCTCGTGTTCTGTGTAGGCTTTGTTACTGTTTCCCAGCGCCACTTTAGGAACAGCACTGTTAATTAGAACCCAACAGTGAATGGTCGAGTGGGGAATCCTACCAAGGCATCAGAATTAATTTTAAATAATTATATTAAATGAAAAAATCCCGGCCAACGGTGGGATTCGATCCTGAGACCTTCCGATCTCAAAGTCATGACTCTAACCACTGTTAAATTAGTTGCTACTGTTGGATTAGTATCTGAATCAAGATCAGTTGAAGGTGAATCGATTTTTAATTGTAATAAACGTTTCTCTAATTCTTCAAAAGTAAAATCTGCCATAATTTGTACATTATTTAATAATCCCAAAAACGTCACTGGACCTGCTATGCTGTCTTCACCAGTACGTAAATCTTGTAGATTTGGCCGATGTGTGTCCCAAGTCTTGAAGTCTTCTACACCACCTTCACAATTAATCACCAACAGTTTGTAAAATTATTCACCAACAGTTTTTTGTTTTAATTGAAAGTTCGTAATTCGGCTAATCGGTAACAAAAAAATTCGATATGACTTGATCCCGACTACGCCAGAAATGAAATCTCGAACCTAAAATGATTTTTTAAAAACTTTAATTTTACTTAATTACAATAAAAATATATTGTTATGTGAGCCATTTCATTATTCAGTCATGCTCTAACCCTACAAGTCCCTCTCTGTCTTATTTGGCCTTTGAGGCTCAACTTGTCCGATTATTATACATAATTAAACCCCTTAAGACCAAACCTATGGGACGACTATGGAGGAGACACTTTCGCGAACATTCCAGGGTCAACGAGATACTATTTCTAGAACGTGATAACGTTTCTGGTACATACTGGCAATTTTGGTGGGGGAGCATTCTAGACCACCAATTTGTATATAAATTGGTGGAGGAGAGCCATCAAAATCAGTTGATATATGGACAGTGAAGATAAATAGTAATTAGTAGATAGACCCCAGCAAACATTTTGATGTAATTTGACGTCGATACTACCTAAATTATATATAATAAATTTGGTCGCAAAATTAGATTTAACCATAATTAAGTAAAATGCACGTTGGCTCGA